GTTAATAGAAAGAATGATGTGACGAGATTCTGGAGGCAGACGGAGGCGAGATTGTCGGAATGGATGTGATGGTTTTGAATTAAAGAACATAAATAAATTATGTTTATAATTATGATTTGTTAAGCTTCCGCAATATTGAAAACTCCGCACTGTATATGTTATGAAAAATATTATCGTGATAAATAAAAGTGTTTGAAAAATTTTAAATTTTACGATTACCAAGTTAATACGCTCAGATGCAGGCCACCAACGAGGGAGCCAGCATCCCTGTGGCTGCTACCATACCGGTCATTTCAGCCCCGGTGTTGCCTCTGGGTCTGAGCTCTGTCCCGACGGCCAGCGTGATCAGTCCCTTCGCGACCTCCGTCCCTTCCGCTGGACCAAGGGTCACGTTCCCACCAAGCATGGCTCAGTTCTTGAACGACCCAGCCAACCTACAAGCCATCCAGGGCTTTGGCCAGGTCATGGCCATGTGCCAGCAGAACGGGGGGATGCCTTTCCTCCCTGGTATGTTCCCATTCGCCCTTCCAGCCGCGGTGACCATGCCCCTACAAGCCCCGATGGCGGTGACGTCGTTCTAGACGCCGATGCCGCAACCATCACCTTTCCAGCCCCAGCTGGTCAGCACCATGGCCCCTGTCAACTTGGCCGGTGCACGTAACGCTGCAGGGCCGTCGCGTCCCCCGCAAGCTACGAATCCGCAGATCACTCCTGACGGTCATTGCGTCTCGATTGAGAGCGATGACGGCGAGTGGGACATCCCGAGGGCCCACAAGAAGAAGAAAGGAAAAAACATCCGGCCAGCGACCTCCCGAAACTCCGCCTTCGAAAGGCTAGGGGATAGGGAGGAAGGCCAGAGGAAGTCAGCCAAGCAGAGGCTGGGGCAGAGTGTTGCCCATGTCAGCGCATTCGCCCGGCTAGGCGAGGTGCAGGAGGCCGAGCCTGCCCGCACCCGGCGCTCCCGGTCTAACCGGCAGGAGCCAGCGAGGACGAGGGCCTCCCACCAGGAAGGGGAGGCAGAAAGCCAGCCCAGGTTACCGGTGGCGAACCGGTTAACCATCCCAAACCACCGCGTCCAATAGATGGAGGCAAAGCTGGAAAGGCTGGAAAAGAAGGTCGGGAAGAAGAATGACCGGGACAAACCCCTAGCAGGGTCCCCGTTCACCGCGAGGGTCCATCTGACACCTTTCCCGCGAAAGGTTAAGATCGATGCCCCCAGATTCACCGGGAAGGAAGATCCGGAAATCCATTTGGACTCCTTCAACCAGAGTACGACCATGAACGGTTGCACCGATGAAGAAAAGTGCCTTCTTTTCTTCCAGACCTTGCGGAACCGAGCCACTGAATGGTTCAATAAGCTTCGCCCGGGAAGCATTGACTCGTTCAATGATTTGGCCTCAAAGTTCAAGGCCAAGTTCCAGGAGAATTGTACTAAGAGGAAGAAATTCACCTATCTTAGTACAGCCGGGCA